TTACCTGTAAACCAAGTGTTGTATCAATAAATTTACATGTTCTTAAAGATGTAGTTGTTTTCTCGCAGTCTTCAGTGTGTCCTCAAATACCTTACGCACCTGTATATCTTTTTAAATAAAATTTAAGTAAAACGTTCAATAATTATCGAATGTCAACATAGCGTTTCGTAATATCTGAATCACTCATCGTTATTTAAAATATACATTAAAACATGCACTATTAATAAACAAACTATACCAATAGTCTAGCCAAATCAATAATAAAAACTAACTCATGTTCCTTGAAGAAATATTCATACAACAAAAACAACCATCCATTAATTAAAATAATTATAATTTAAATGTATAGAAAGAAACAAAATCTCCGTCAAAACTCGCTTACATCACAACACTCTTTGCTTACGCATAGCACACTCTTTGCTTGCGTCACAACGCATTGCTTGTGCTACTCATTGCGTCACGCCCACTGCTTGCGTCACACTTTGCCTACGTCACAACACTTTTTGCTTGCGTCACAACACTCTGCTTACGTCACAACACTCTGCTTGCGTTACAGTCAATTTGCATCACAACATTTTTTGTTTCGCCACAAAACTCTTTGCTTGCGTCACAACATACTTTGCTTGCGCCATGACTCTCTTGCTTGCGTCACAACACTCTTTGTTTGCACCATAACACACTTGCATCACAATACTCTGCTTACGCCACAACACTTTTTGTTTGCGTCAAAACACTTTGCTTACGCCCTAGCACTCTTTGCTTGCGTCACACTACCCTTTGCTTGCGTCACAACACTTTGCTTATGCCATAATATTCTTTGCTTGCGTCACAACACTCTTTGCTTATGCCATAATATTCTTTGCTTGCGTCACAACACTGCTTACACCATAACACATTTTGCTTGCGTCACAACACTGCTTACACCATAACACATTTTGCTTGCGTCACAACACTTTGCTTATGCCATAACACATTTTGCTTGCGTCACAACACTTTGCTTATGCCATAATATTCTTTGCTTGCGTCACAACACTCTTTGCTTGCGTCACAAAGCTCATTAGTTCTATGACTTTATATCACAAAATAATCTACCTGTGTTTCCATTACAGATTTCTAACAATTTAAATAGCATTGTTACACCATATCAAAATTTTACTAAGCCCATACATTGACTCTATCTACCCCGATATTTCCTGTACTTTTCTTCCGAAATGACCTTCGGATAATTTATAATAGGATTTCCTCCTTGTTTGAGAAAGATTATTCGTAACTTGGAAATGTCGATCAGTAAAATTAATCGACACAAAATGTCTGTCGTTTTTAACAGTATTTATCTTAAAGAACATTTGCTTTCTAAGTACACATAATTAATACATTTGTTGTAATTGTCCAGGTTTATAAAGTTCATTTGAGCAAATTGAACAGCACCGGCGTCGGAGCTGTTAACGGCTTGAAGGCACATTTCAAATCAATGTATTTTTTTTTCATCTTCAATAACTTTGCTAATATCAGCATTTTGTAATATTTCTAAATATACTTTGCAGCAACGGTAATATAATTGGAAAAACAATTGTGCTTACGTTCTTGTTTAATGAAGAAGAAATTTGAATTTAACGATTTACGTTATAGATATGAAATTAAGTTAAATAAATTAATTAACGTACATTTCCGCGTATAAAGTGACTTTTAGATAAGACGAAGTAAAAAAAAAATATAGCAAATTTTCATGAATTATACCTATGGTATAAGACGACTACTTGTTGATTATATAAAGATGATGTTATTGGAAATGTTGTTACTTAGTGTATCCTTTGTATCACAAAATATCGCTAATAACAAGATATTGTACGATAATAGTAGATTCCATTACTATGAACGCAATCATAACTCGATGTTTACATTTTCTCAGCTGAGCTTGCATGGATACAAGTTGATTTCATTGATATGAAATTATTCTTCAAATTGGCAATTTATTATGGAGTTATGCTAGTAATATATAAGATAGAAATGGCTTTATTACTTTTATTATCAGTATATTTGATAATATGAAGCATTTTATCTACGTTATTAGATATCGCTCCAAGGCCGAGGTTAGCCTACCGACAAATATCACTCAGAATTTAAGGTTTCTTTTTTAGAATTGTAATTTAAAACAAACCCCGATTTTCAAAGAAGAATTTTAGGATTTAAAAGTCATCTTACACGCGGAAATATACGGTATTATAAAGTAAAACAAAATGAAACAAAAAACGAATGTTAAAATGGAAATTTAATAGTAGTTAAATATAACGATGCTATTTAATATTATATTTCATTTTTTTAATGGAATTCAATAATATATTAGCTTTTACATAAATTCGTTCGTTTTATATAATTTAATTTAATGCTTGTTAATTATTGATTGAATCATTCAACAATGTATTATTTTTCATTGTTTACGACCTCCTGCCAATGATCCACTAACTGTTCATACCTCGACGATAGAATTTCATAGGTTTTGACTTGAAAAATTCATCAAGCCACGTTTTAAGCTCCATATCGTTGTTGAATGAAACACCCCTTAAATTGTTAGAAAGCGACTGAAAAGGATGGTAGTGTGAAGAGGCTAAATCAGAAGAATATTGTGGGTGCGGCAGAACTTCCCAACCGGGCTCTTTAATTGCATGTTGGTCATGTTAGCGACGTGGTGGTGATCACTGCCATGTTGAATAATCACACTGTATCACAAATCAAGTCTTTCTCTTTGAGTCTGTTTTGTTCAACGTACAGTTTACGATTTACCGCTTGGTTGTTTTGAAACATTTCATAGTAAATTAATTCTTACCAATCCTACTAAACGCAGATGATTCGCTTGCGCAGATGTAGCTTTGATTTGGTTCGGGATGTTGCCTGTTGTTGCGATCCATTCATTTCTCATCCATTCCTTTCTCTGCTTCATATTCACCTAAAGACACCATTTTTTGTCCCCGGTAAAGGAATCTTTCTTTGTATCGACGAGTAACCTGGTGTCGAGCGAGTATATAGACGGCAATGAAGGAGGGTTGGAGTTTTGTTTCTCTTGGTCAATGTGTGTGCTGCCCATGCTCTGTGTTTCTAGACCTTACCGATTGAGTGAAGATAACGAGCGACAGTAACATGAGAGCTTGGCATTTTCTGAGCCAATTCTTTTATGGGGTCTGCCTAGGTTCTTCTTTAATCAGCGCAAGCAATCAGTTCTCATCTAACGGAACAGGCCGGCCAGAACGTGGAGAGGCTGCGAGTTCGAATTCCACTCCAACTTGAAACGGGGGAAACCATTTCTCTGCAATTCTGACGGTAATGGAATCATCTCCGTACACAGCAAAAATGTTTCGGGCAGCTTTGGAAGCTTTGTGACTTTTAGTTAAAAGCAAAGAGAAGATGTCGAACATATCATGTCTACTTGGCATTCCACCTCAAAGGGATGTATAATCTGAAATGAAACAACAGTATCATATATATATATATATATATATATATACATTTAATTAATTCATCGAGTCTGATAGAAACCTCAACAGAAAGCACTGGACGGCCGTTTCGTCTATATTTGGGACTCATCAGCAGTGCGCATCCACTACCGAGAATTGAAACCCTGACAGTTAGGTTGTCAAGCGAACATCATAGCAACTGTTCCATTTTAATAAATACCCATATTTGAGTAGATGTTACGCGTATTTTAAACAGTATTTATTTCGTTGGCGATAAGTTTGAAGCAATAAAATGATAATTTTAACCGAATATGTAGACATTTATATATATTTTAATATATACACATACTTGAATAAAATATGATCATTAGAGCCTAATGCAAGAAGTACGAAAGCATAAATAATAAAACAGAAAAAGCCAAAACTCAATAATATCAACTATGAACACGGCCACAGTGCATTGACCCTGTTTGGAAAATAAAAAAAAAATCCAATCACTATAGATATATATATATATAAAAATCAACATATTCAGTTAAAAACAAAACAAAAAATATACTTGATAATTTATAATAACTGAAAGCGCTAGGACATATAAAACAATTTTACACACTGTATGTCCAGCAAAGAAAATATTTCTACGAATACGAGTAAAACAGAATAAAAAGTTAACCGCAATACCTTGTCCGATTTTTATATACCAACACTGAACAACAATTTATTATGGGTATAGTAGCAATGTTTTAAAATGTATTTCAGTTGACTAACATTTAACACCATTTTGAAATTTAAGAAGATGCAACTTTGCCTACTATCCCTTGGATTGGGAACGCTTGTTTACAAAACGTCGTAACCACAACGTTTTATTTTAAAATAATTATAGCGTATTCGCGTGTGTTTGCCAAATCACTGTCACAACGGTTACTGTTACATTAAATTTGTCTTTGCAATACACCCCTGAGAATGATTTCGAAGGAGATCAAAAGTACTTGGGTTAACAAAAAAATACGGCATTTTCTTGACATCTTAACATCAAGAAGATAATTAGAGAACTAGAAAGGATTATTATAAAAAATAAATAGACATAATATATCTATATTATTTAATTAAACATGCTTGAATGAAGATATACTGCCTAAATATATATGTACGTATATATATATATGTGTGTGTGTCTATGTGGATTTGTATACATATATATATATATATATATATATATATATATGGCGTATTGAAATTTTTTAATGTATCACACAGATACTACAGTTTGATCCTAGGCATAATTTTGGTTGGTTGGTTTTGTTTAGCGGCATATCAACATCTCTATGAGTTATTTAATGCCGAAGTATTCTGTACACAATTTTATTTTATTTTTGGAGATACTAATGTTTTAGTAATACAGGTCTTACTAATTAACCCATAGCTGGGAGAGAAGAGATAGATTCATAGCTTTGCGCGTAAGTTAATATAACGAATCCACCTGGAATTGGAACTCGGCTCTCCGAGTAATAATTCTGAGCCATTTACGATTACACCACCCGCACATCTAAG